AGGGCCGGATGAAGCCTCCGGGTGCCCTTCACCCCCCACCGGTTCCTGCAGCCCAGCAAGTGCAGAACCGTAATGAAGACAGGCATTGCAGGATTCCTCCTTGTTTCTCTAACCTCCTTCCCCTTTCTCAGATGCCTTCCCACCCCGTGTCTTCCCTCCCGCCCCAGCCTTCCCTCCTCTTCCCAGGTCCTACACACTTCAGCTCTTCCAGACCACCACCTTCCAAAACACCACCTTGGTGGACACCGAGGGCCTGGGCCTGCTGCACGATATCGAACTGGGTTTTTTAGACAACCGCACCTGGAACATCCACTTCCTGCAGCCGTGGGTGCACCCCGCCTTGCCGCAGAGCGACTGGGATACCATCAATGCCATGATCAAAATCTACCTGCAGAAGTTCCACCACTTGGTCCAAGAAGGTGCCGTAAAGAAGCGGGTACCATGTGAGTCCTGCCTTTTGTGGATGCCTCCCCTCACCAGCGACGTCTGCTGGCCTCCCTCTTGCAGGCAGCAGCACCGTTGCCGTTTGCAACGTCGTGCAGTCACGGCTCTGAAAACCCTTCGCTCTCTCTTCCTTCCCTACCTGATGCCCTCTGGAAGGGCCATCCTCGGGGTCTACTCTCAACATTGCCACCTACGGGGTTATCCAAAGATGCCCCGAGAGCAGAGATGCATGCCGAGAAGGGACCACCATCCCGAGCTGCTCCTCATGCCACCTCTCTCTCCCCGTCCTTCCCCCGCAGACCCCTTCGTGGCCCAGTGCACCGCCGGCTGCGAGCTCTTCCCCAACAGGACCTCCAGGGGCTTCCTCTACGTCGGCTACAACGGCCAGGACTTCCTCAGCTACGACATCGACAACGGCACTTGGCTTCTTTTGCAAGACACGGAGCTGTCGAGATACGTTCAAGAAACGCTAAAAAACTACACCGCCTTCACTGAACTCATACAAGTCCTCTTCAACGACACCTGCGTCGATGACATGGAGATAATACTCCACTATGCGAAGGAGGCTCTGGAGAGACAAGGTGGGGCCACCACCCTCACGCAAGGGCTAGCCGCAAAGGGGACGCGCGGGGGGCAAGCGCTGCTGGCACCCTCTTGGCCCTACCACGCGGTGGGCCACCAGGCTCATGCGCAACCTCTTGCCCTAGTGAAGCCCGTGGCCGTGGTCTTCGCCCGGCCGTCCGGCCCAGGGAGCCTACTGCTCGTCTGCCGCGTCACCGGCTTCTTCCCCCGCGGCCCCCTCGCCC